GCCGATGCCTACATACATTTTTTACAAAATGACCTTACAGAGGCATTTGATGAATTACCTCAACAAATTCTAGAAGATTGCTACTTTATGCACGATTATGCACGCGCTACTCGAGCATACTTAAATAACAGATTTCGCAATAAGTGGATTGGCCGAGGAGGGCCACCTCGTTCACCAGATTTAAATCCGTTAGATTTTTGGTTTTGGGGACATTTAAAACAAATTGTTTATTCTGAAGACGTTCAAAATGTGCAGGATTTGAAGAATAAAATTAGTAACGCATTTGACACAGTAAAACAAATTCCTGGTATCTTTGAACGCATTAGAAGTTCATTTAGAAAACGTATCCGTTTGTGTTTAGAAGTAAATGGTGCGCATATTGAACATTTATTATGACATGAATCTTTTCCAATTTGTTAAATATTCGTTGTTTTTATGCTGGTTGAACGATTTTCTTCGACAATCTTTGTTACTTGTTTTGTTAAATTATTAATGAACTGTATTCATTAACTTAATATTATCTTATTATTTATTAAACTGTATCTTAACCATCGTAATCATGGTAATCATATAATTACTGCATCTAAATCGTTAGAATTAATGATGTTTACAATAGGTCAGCTTATGAAACTAAAACTTTGAATATCACGAAATTGATCCATTTTCGGACTTTTCAGACTTTTCTTGTTTGTTTTCGATCAGAGAATACGCTGATGCAGTATTGTACAATCGTTGGGGGACACCCTGTATATCGAAAAAACCTTATCCTTGTTTAACGAAAATAATTTCATAGAAATTAACAAAAATCTGAAAAACTCTTTTCATAGTAAAACTAAAAAAGTTATAAAAGATGCTTCAGAGTTTTTGAAGGATAATGATATTAATCCATTTTATTTTCTTCCAATGAATCCGAAAACTCCTTTAGCTTATTGCCTTATTAAATTACATAAAAACAACTTCCTAATTAGACGGATAATCTCGTCTATAGATTCAAGCACTTACAAAATTTGCAAATTTTTAATTCAATTTTTTAAAAACGTAATTCAATTTAAAGCCGATTATACCATAAACAATAGATATGTACTTATCGACACTTTATAGAATCTAGAATTACCAAAAAACTTCACCTTGCTATTATTTGATGTAACTAATTTGTATACTAACATTCCAGTTAAAGAAACTTTAATTATAATTAAAGATCTTCTTAAAGACAAATTAGATTCCAGTAACGTGACACACATTCTAAATTTACTTCAAATTTGTACAGAACAACATTTTTTCCAATTTAACGATAAATATTATAAATACAATGAGGGACTTCCAATGGAATCCCCACTGAGTGGTCTTCCCTCCGACATTTTCCTAAACACAATAGAAAATAAAATTCTACACAAAAATAACCTAATTAATAACAACATAACACTTTGGCGAAGATACGTTGATGATATCCTAATAGTTTGGAATGATGATGGTTTAAATTTAGTAGGGGATTTTTACAGTTATATTAACAATTTACACAACAAAATTCACTTTAGAAGTTGAACAAAATAAACTTTTAAATTTCCTTGATCTCACTTTAATTAATAATGATAGTTCCATAGAATTTAAAATATATAGAAAACCCACACAAACAGACACCATCATCCCATCAGACTCATATCATATCAATACTCATAAAACAGCAGCTTTCAACGCCTATCTTTACAGATGTTTCAACACCCCCTTGTCAAATAAAGATAGAGACAGAAATTAATATCATCAAGGATTGTAGCGATTTTTATTTTCATTTTTCGTAATTTCATTGTTTTCATAATTTAACACCATCTATGATTGATTTGACGTAAGATTCGATACATTTTTAGTGATTTTTATTATATTATGATTGATTGGGGTGGGGGGATTTATTTCCGTTTAGATATTGTTTTCGTAG